CTTATTCGTTTTTAATTTGTAGTAGGCAGGTGTATTTTGTTTTACATGTAATGTTTTATTTTTTTTGCTTTGAAATTAAATGGATTAATATTATAATTTTACAATATGGAAAATGTCAGGGAAACCCTAATTATATTTTATGTATTTTAGTCTTACAAAAAAAAATGTTTGTTATTTTCAGGAAACCAAGGTTAAAGAAAGGAGATATGTTTCTTTGTGGTGAAAGTGCAAGAAATAACACCATATTCTGACTTACAAAATGATCACTCATACTGCATGCAATACAGGGAAAGGCATCAAATCAAGCCTCTAGAAGACATACATTTGTAGAATGTATTTTCTATGATGTACACGTCGCAGAGGATACTTTATGTTCCAAAAATTCAAATACAAATTGTGTCAGCTCCTGTGACAAACTTAAGACGGAAGTTAACCAGAGTATGAAATCACCATTATCAATATGTAAAATCCAACCAGTGACTATATATTTATTTATTCAAATAGTGTCATGAATGGAATTAAAAAAGGACTTGGAAAATTAACATGTTTTAATATTGCTTTGTGTGTTAATAAAATTTGTCAGCAAGAACAAACTTCTTCCATTCTCAATTTTATTCTTTTATTACAAGACATCCAGAATACATGTCTTCATACATGTCATAGCAGGTACCAGCATTTCTGTGGTTGGGTGTTCCTAGATAGTTTAGTTTGTAACAATGTTCCATTTTTTTGGTCTTTCATGCTTGGTTCATAAGGAATGTAAAAAAATATTTCATGTGGGTATAAAAATAAGGAGATGTGGTACGATTGCTATTAAGACAACTATCAGGAGATCAAAGGACAAGGATGTAAACGAAGACAGGTCAGTGTTCACTAAGATAGGTTTTCTAGGTACAATGTAGGTACTTTTCGAAAGTGGATAACCAATGGATTTATTGGGTCAATGGGATGAAGGTGGGGTGATGTGGGAATGAATATTTTAGCTTGGTGAGAATTAGTAGAAGAAATAATGTTGCCCGTTCAAGATGAAAATGAATAAGCTGCTGCATTTCTGCCTCACATTAAGCATGAAAAATTATGTAAAAAAGTGAAAATGAAGCATTGTGACATAAACAATCTGAGCAACAGATAAAAATGAAATAATATTGACTATTTGTGAATAATCTGTCCAAGAGAACTCCTCCTGCCTTACCCCCTAAAAATGAAATGATTGTCCACTTATATATGCTCTTAATGCTAATAAAAAATGTCAAATCTTTACCAATATAAAAATAAGGAGATGTATGAATGCCAATGAGACAACTATCCATCAAATTCAAATGAAGTGGATGTAAGCAATTATAGGCAACTGTACAGCCTTCAACAATGAGAAAAACCCATATTGTATAGTCTCTAAAAGGCCACAACGTGAAAAATGTGAAACAAATTATGAGTAGGGTGTATGACACAATAAGCAGATAACCCATCAAAGTTATTCGTTAAATGCTATTAGTTGCTTGTGTTACTAATGTTTTTCACAAGGGAAATTTACTTGTACTTGCCATGGGTACAACCATTGATTTTAGGATATGAATGATACATTTATTGTTGAAGACCCTACATCAACTGTCAAGATGAAGAACAGGAATAAAAGCCATGTTCATTGATAATTTTCTATGTTTTCTATGTATTGGGTGCGATTTAGTCCCATGTACATGTACATTTACTCCATATCATTTCAGTTTCTATTTTACTGTTGTTTATAATCATGAACTTATTTTTAACTTCCTGCCAGTCCTTCAATGAACTCAAACCTCTATAGTTCCAGTTACAACTCATGTATTTGCAGTTTGAACAGACGAGAATTCTTGAAAATCAATGAATTCATTTAATTTCTCATTTGTTGCGGACCTTACATTTGTACATGTATATTGATTCTGTTAAATTTATTCATAACTTAACTATGATAAAAAATCAACATACAGATATTGTATGGAGACTGACTATACTGAAGACTGTATGATTTCCTCTAACTGTCAACATGGTCAATGCTCTTGTGGTAGTTGGGTCAGTTTCATATACTAGAAGAAAGGACAAAGACAAGCTGCGAAAATAAATAATTGTTTTGACCTTCTCTTTGGGGTTATCTTAAACAGCTATTACAAGTATCATAAAGACGTGTTGGGCTACTCAAATTACGATCACTAGAAAAACAACAACATAACTACGATAATTTTCGGCAACTGCCAAATGTAAACGACTATCAAAGTTTATTTTCCAGCTTGAGAGAGGTCCTCAATATGACATACTCAGAAGGAATCGTGATATCTTTGCGAATTAAAACAAAATATTGAATAAAGATGCTAAAACAAACTAAACCTAACAACAAACAAGTCAGAAATGATTATCTTGCAATACACGCTGTTCGACCGGATGTTTACTAACAGGCGCGTATAAATTTATAGTGGCGAGTACGCAACATCTCACGATACGCGAGAAGTGTCGATATACCGCGAGATTCCAATCCTTTTCACTATACAAATCCTTGATAAAAATAAATCAAAATTAAACTACATGGGGGATTATTCAGGGTATTCCAACTTAGTTGCACCAAAAGGGTATCTTACTATACCAAATTAATCCTTGATTCTTCAAAGTTTAGTTTAGCCATAATAAAAAGGAGTATACAACAGCAATAGAATGTCATAAACAGTGCAGAATAAGTCTGTTCACATTTCAGGCGAAATTTAAACTGTTGAGATAGTGTCAAGACATATTTAAGACTGTCAAGAATGTGTCGAGACATATTCAGACATTATTTAGAATGTCAAGAATATGTCGAGACATATTCAGACATTATTAAGAATGTCAAGAATATGTCAAGACAGATCGAGACAAATTTAAGACAGTCAAGAATTGGTCGAGACTAATCCAGACTCTTATCAGATGATACAGGAAGTGTCGAGAAATTTTAAGACAATGTTCATACTGTCAAGACACTTGTCAAGAAAAATCAAGAACCTTTTTAGACAAATTCATACTATGTCAAGAATTTTTTTAAATTATTCAGACAAATTAAGAATGTCGAGTAAAAATTCATGCAAATTCAGACAAAAACTGGTCTTTTCAGACTTTTTGACTTTTGTAGTGCCTTGTAGTACAATTTCAGAGAGATCCATACACTTACACACAAGTTATTGTCATGAAACTAGAAAAATGCTTGTTTTTTGCCCCTTTTTGGCCCTTAATTCCTATAATTTGGAGGCAATTACCCCCAAAATCAATCCCAGCATTCCCTTTGTGATATGGAACCTAGTGATACAATGTCAGAGAGATCCATACACTTACACACAAGTTATTGTCATGAAACTAGAAAAATGCTTGTTTTTTGCCCCTAATTCCTAAAATTTGGAGGCAATTACCCCCAAAATCAATCCCAGCATTCCCTTTGTGATATGGAACCTTGTGGTACAATGTCAGAGAGATCCATACACTTACACACAAGTTATGTCTGGAAGTTACAAAAATGCTTATTTTTGGTCCCCTTTTTGGCCCCTAATTCCTTAACTGTGGGTACCATAACCCCCAAAATCAATCCCCACCTTCCTTTTGTGGTATTGAACCTTATGGTAAAATTTCATTGAGATCCATTCACTTTAACTAAAGTTAGAGTGCAAAAACTAATGTGTCTTCGAACGACGACGACGCCAACGTCATACCAATATACGACCACAAAAATTTTTCTGCGGTCGTATAAAAACTAATCAAAGAAACCAGGCTTATAATTCAATTCATGAATAATAGTAACATCATGAACTGATAAATTGTATGGAATAGTTTAAATCAAGGACTGATACATGGTATGGGGAATAATACAGCATATACTGAAGCATGGTATTGGAAAGGTTTAAGCATGGATTTGAAACAAGGTAAGAGGAATAGTTACTGATACATAGTATATGATTGATTAAAGGCATTGGTTTGCATTTATCCTAATAATAAATCAGTTTTCTTGGACAAGTTTAATGCTTGAACAGGTTTAAAAATGTTACAGACATTAGTCACACGATTTGCATGCATAATTCTTTTTTTGGGGGTATTTCACTAAAAAAATATATCAAGGAAAAACGAATTTGATCCAGGTAAAAATATCTATAAAAAGCATGTCTGCACATACTCTTTGACAGAGATCAGTTAATCTTCATGATGACAGGACAGAGGTTTTGTAATCTGGACAAGTCCTACAGATGCACAGGGTCATGGCAGAAAATCAGAGCTTCAAGTCTATGCCCATGAATGCATACCCTAGGCCTGGTTTAAAAAAAAACCATTTTACTGATGCAAGGAACAAATATAGCCACAGCATGTACTACTATGGAAGTCCAGGAAAAGGTAATTAAATCCTAACCATGGTAAATAGTTAATGTAGTGTCAGTACAGACTACAAGATAATATAGCTGAAAATGATTAATTGAGATATTAATGCTTAAAATTTATGAATTCTACCATTTCAACAAAGTTTAGGTGGCTTCTAAAATAAATTGATTCGTTTTTAAAATTATGATTTTAAAATTTTAAATTACCTTTTTTTTTTAAATTGTATAAAAACTCAATATGTCATATTGATTTAAATTTATTTTAATACAATTTCACCTACAAATATTACAGAAAGTGCTGATATTAAATTTTAGCAGCTTATCTGCTGAGGTGTGAATGTGATTTCCTAATAATTCCTCCCACTCACTGAAAGGGCAGTACACAACAAGATACCTTAATACCGGCATCTCTTCTGGCCTCTGCCTCACCAATACGAGCATCTCGCTTAACTTGAGCAGTACGAGCTAATCCAAGTGACTTCAAATATCCCTAATGAAAAATGTTAGTGCTTGAGAGAACAGGGTTTATATTAAATAAATGTACAACGTAAACAAGTGGCAAGCAGTGACTGCATTCTTTTGTCTGCCGTGTATAATGATGAATGCCCCTGAAATAAATATGTGATATATATAGAAAAACTTCACCTTGATTCCAGCATCACGTTTTGCTTCAGCTTCACCAATTCTAGCAGCACTTTTTACTTCAGCAGTACGTTTCATACCCAAAGCATGTAGATAACCCTGAAATTTGTAATGCATTTACCAATCATTCTTAACTTTAGATATGATATCTTGTAATCTGAGTATCAGTTGGAGCCATTTCCTTCCAAGACATGCTACTAAATAAACATATGCATTAATTTTATTCATGATTAACAAATTAAAGTCACTGCCTATATAAAATATTTTTCCACAAGCTGAAAACATTTTAAATGTCAAAACAAATGTTCAAATGTAAATTGATTAAAGTAAACATCACATGGACAAACCTTAATATTAAAAGAGAACACACATTGAAATGTCTCACCAGCTTAAATGACCATGATTTATTTTATTTGAAAGTCTTTAAGATATAAGTTTTCCTACAGGAAACACGAATAAATTGCCTAGCTGTGCACAGCTGGATACGACCGCAGATGTCCAACCCTGAAAAGTTGGGGCCAAAATGGACACAATATTCACGCTTGATACAGGTCTGAATTTGGATTGTAACTAAATTTTTGACACATAATAGGTTTCTGACACAGAATAACTGTAGTCAAAGAACTTCAAATTGGTTATATGATTTGAATTTATATTCAATTTTTTGCTTTAGTGCAATACATTATGCTGTTGCGAATTGACCCCCCCCCCCCCCAAAAAAAAAAAAATTTACCCCGGTTTTTTGCTTTTGGGCAATACACTATGCTGTTGAATATTAACCCCCAAAAATAAATTTGAAGAAATTTTCTTTTAATTTCTGAAATCTGAAATGAGAAAAATTGTCCCCCCCCTCCAATTTTTTTCACCTCCCCCCTTTCCCTTATTCCCCAAAAAAAAATCTTTCCCTCAAGATATGGTCAGTATCTCTATTCAAATTTCTAATGGAGTTTGCAACCATAATTACCCATTTAAATACATCATAAAAGTTTTAAAATATAAAATGACATACATAGTCATGGCTAAAATTAATATTAATTAATAGTAACTGCTAAAAATAAATTGACAGCTAATCACCTCAAGACAATTAACATTTCTAAATACATAATTTACAAGCAGTGTAAGGGAGGTAATCAAACAGTGTTCTTTTAATTGATTTGGATTACCTCCCTTACACTGCTTTTAAATTGTCTCAATTGTCCTTTCACCAGAAAAACCCTTGTTTTTCCCCTTTTTTTGACCCTAATTACTAATTGGTTTGAGCCATAACCCCCAAAGTCAATCCTAACCATCCCTTTGTAGTATGGAAACTTGTGTTATAATTTCAGAGAGATTCATACACTTTAACACAAGTTATTGTCTGGAAACTACAAAAATGTTTATTTGGGCCCCTTTTTCTATCGAGAGGTCTCGTAGTTAAGGTCACTGCATAAGGGAAAATATCGGCGAATTTAACGGTGTAAGACAATAATTCAATAGCAGTTCATTTATGAAGATTTTGATAAAGGATTCTTTTACAAGAAAATGGTATCCTTTATCGTCAGTGCCTTTAAGTTTATGTTGTACTGTGGCATTGCTGATGTATAAAGTGTTCAAAAATAACGTATAGGCACAACTGAAACATAATGTTACAAGAAAAAGAACTTAACAGGAGACATCACATGTCACAATACACCTGAATCAGATAGGTACATTTCAAAGGGATCCCTATTTACCTAGTGTCAACAACATAAACTGCAGCTCCATCATTTGACATTTGCAGCTGAGCTGTCAAACAGGATTATTTAAGTATACATGTAATAAGGAGTCCTACTCTTTAAAATGGAATGAAATATAAAGAAGTTACTAGTTTTTAATGTAACTGTCAGTACTTTAACAGTTTCAAACTTGCACTAAAAATAGGAATGCAACTGTCTCTTGAGAAGACCAATAAGAATTTCTGTTGCAAAATGAATTTCCATCTTATTAAGGTGGTACATTACACTACAGGGAAATAACTCTGTAAAAATCAGCTGAACGTTTTAATCTTGTTCTATTGTTAGGGAAATATTAAGCTTCTCATTGATCAAAATAAGTGTTTGTCAAACTGCTATATATCCAATGAAATTTTTCCAATAATGTGTGTGGTTCAAGGTTTTTGAAATTTTGATATTTTTGTCAAAGGGTCAAAGTAAATATTTTGTCAAAATTTTATGAAAATTAAACGAGCCAAATTAATTTTAGTCGAGGTCTTTGGTACCACCTTAACCCATATATCATTCTAAGATTTGACATGGCTAAGATTTTCTTAATTTTGTAAAAACATTCATGAAAGTGAGAAAAATGTACAAAACATGAAGATAATAATATGAAACCTCCAACACAAGTTTCTAATAAAGTCCATGAATTTGAAACAAATGGTTTTTATTATATATGCCTACCTCACTATCCCTGATATCAGTAATGGTATAACTGACAACGAATATTCCCATGTTCACCAAGTCAGATGATGCCACCTCAAACACAGCCTTCGAAAACTTCTTACGATCTTTGTAGATTTCCTGATTAAAACAAAACAATGTAATCATTATATACATGTATATACAGCTAACTATTTTAGGATTTGTCCTGCAAATCTTTCTTTTTGGCATAAAAGACTTATTGATAAATAGAAAATATCATATAGCTTTTCAATATCACATCTGTATCGACCCGAGACACCAATATAATCCCAAGAGCTCTGCTAGAGGGATTATATTGGTTGAGGGTTGATACGGTATGTGATATTGAAAAAGCCATATCATATACACTTTATTATATACTTATACCTCACATAGATGTTTTTTATGTGACATGACGTCATACAGATAAGGAGGTTTGAAATGACGTCATACAGATTATAGGTTTGACATGACGTCATACAGATTAGGGGTTTGATAAAGCCTTTGCAACAGTGACTGCAATCAATGACGTGATGTCATACAGATTAAAGGTGTGATAAAGCCTTTGCAACCGTGCTGATATCGATATCATCACGGGTGGCTGATACAGCTCCCTTGCCAATGATTGTATTACACATACAATTTATCTGTATTTACTACTCTAAGTATATAATAAAGGTTTTTAATGCTGGGATCAATATCAATTCATTTATCTATAACTTGAAACAAGACTTAAATGCTTCTTTTTATCCAGCATACAAATTAACTTTTGGCATTGCATAAGATTGTGTTTTCCCATCCTGTTTACTATGTTTACTATTGCTATACACAATCTACTGTGAAGTACAGACACCAGTATCAGTGTAGGACAGCAAGATTCATATTAGTAAATATACAACTGTGTGCTGTAATCTTCTAATTACCCTTTGTTTTTTCGCTGATAGAATTTAGAAGGGGGTTAAGCCCCAAATGAAACTATTTAATGGCAACATATGTTTAAATGTTTGTCCGCAGTCAGAAAAAGCAACACAAAATAAACAATAAAACTAGAGATGACATCTAGAGGTCGACATATGGTCAACAACAACACACAGGCTTCCACATCATGTGTCAACCTCTCAGGCTCTGTCACCAAAATAAGAAAACTTATTATGTTAAACCCAATTTTCAGAGTTCAGTATTTCTGAATAGAAAAATTTTGTTTTATGATGGCAATTGACACCATAATGGCAATTCTCAAATAGCTAGCAATGGTCCTATTAGCCATGGAACCTTAAAGATCTCTTAGTCGTGAAACAATGGATTGTCTTATAGTATCTCTGCCACATGTATAAGTGCCATATCCAAGTCAATAACTAGGACAATGGTTGTATTTTTGAGTGTAACCATAGTGTACATACTTCAACTGTCATGTTTCCCATGATAGCTCTCTGGTGTCCTTCAAGTGTCTCCTGGGCAACATTTCTGATCTGTGCTTCTGACTTCCCCAAAAACAGCTCACAAGCAGATGCTAACATGTCCTGGTTAGAGCCTTGAATTTTTACCTATAATAAAAGTTGTAAAATATAATAATGACAATACTAAAACATATCTTCAAATACATAATATACTATACTTTATGTATTATGTTAACAATTAGTACTGAGCAGCTAAATTAGTCTTTTAACAATGTAATTACACAAATACTTTTAAACATTTAAAATTATATTATTCATTTCCTTAATCATTTGTGTTAATTTTAGTAGCAGAGGTTACTGATATTTTTTAAAAATCTCAAAATTACATTAAAATTGTCACTTCAGATTTGTTTATGAAAATGTAAAACAAAATATTATTTAAGACCCTGATATATCTTAAATCAAATGTGAATATACAACTGCTATCTGAAATTTAAATTGAATGTAAAAAAGTGGTGTTAGCAAGATTAGAATATTATACATAGTTTTTCTATAACAAGACAAATGTAGTTTCATATAACTTCAATTATTTGAGTAAATCTAATGTATATGTATTGCTAAATGTATTATTGATGAAAGTATAGTGAAATAAATGTGGATAGTGTCCACATGTGGACACAGATGATGCCCCCGCTTGCATATCATATAGTTATAAAGGGACATAACTGAAGAACGGAAAAGTGACGCTACCCAAATTTGAACTTGATCTGAGTTTTGTGGTAATAAGCATTGTGTGTAAGTCTATTAACATTTTGTTGAGGCTAACTTAAGTAGAGAACAGAAACTAAAATTTCAGCAATTTTTCTATATGTAAACACGCATAACTCTAGAACGGTTGTGTATAAGTTTTACAACATTTGGTTGAGACAAACTAAAAAATTCAGCAATTTTTATGTTTATAAAGGGACATAACTCTAGAATGGTAAAAGTGTTGCCACCTAATTTCATACTTAATCTGTATTATGTAGTAATAAGCATTGTGTATAAGTTTCATAACATTTGGTTGAGGCAAACTCAAGTTAGAGAACTGAAACAAAAAAATTGTACTTGATCCTTACTGAGTTTTGTGGTAATGAATATTTTGTATAGGTTTCATAATGTTTGGCTGGGGAAAACTTCAGTTACAGAATGGAAACTAAAAAATTTTGCAATCTTTCTATTTATAAAGGGGCATAACTCAATAATGGTTAAAGTGACACTACCCAAATTCAACTTGATCTGTGTTTTATCAGTTGGAAGTCAAAATTAAACATTGCATTGTATAAAGCAATGATTGTAGTTGATTCAACTATAATCATGGTCAAAGGAAGATAACTCCAATTTTAAAAATATATTATATAAACTTGATATTTAGAAGAAAATAAAAATTTTGCAACTTTTCCTTTTATAAAGGGGCATAACTCTAGATCGGTTAAAGTGACACCACCAAAATTCAAACTTGATCTGTGTTTTGTGGTAATAAGCATTGTGTATAAGTTTCATAACATTTGGTTGAGGCAAACTTAAGATAGAGAACGGAAACTAAAAATTTTGCAATATTTCCTTTTATAAAGGGGCATAACTCTAGATCGGTTAAAGTGACGCCACCAAAATTCAAACTTGATCTGTGTTTTGTGGTAATAAGCATTGTGTATAAGTTTCATAACATTTGGTTGAGGCAAACTGAAGTTAGAGAACGGAAACCAATTTCGGGACGTACGTACGTACGTACGTACGTACAGACGGACAAGGGTAAAACTTAATGCCCCCTCCGCTACGGCGGGGGCATAAAAAGTGGATATTTGCTCCATATATATTAGCCTGAAGAGATTTCATTTTCATAAATTTTTCTAGAAATTTATCCCCTTCTTTTTACCTATTTTCAGGATTTCATATGAGGCACCAACCCTCTCTCATTGAAATTTTTGTTCAAAATTAAAGAATATTTCGCCAAAAACATTTGTTGGCAACTAGAGGCGCCACTGTTAATTTTTCTGAAAACTGTCTAACCCGAATAATTCAGTCATTATATTCCACTGCTCTACGATGGCTACATTAACGCCTGAAGGCCTAGTCAATGAAAAATCGTCAAAAAATCATTCGGAATTAGCTCGGGATTTACCTATCTCGATAACATTTAGCTATTAGCTGATTGGCTCTCTCTCACAGAAAGCACCAATCAAAATCCTGGATTCGTGACACATTTTTATCGTATAAAGAGTTCAAGCCCTCCCGAGTGGGAGAGTCGATCACGGGGAGGGACTGAATTATTCGGGTTAAAAACTGTCATATAATTTGCCAAATTATGCAAAATTTCAGGTTAAAGAAATTCACCTGCACTGATGCGTCACAAATGAGGCAATTGGTGAAAATCTTTTTTAACTGAAACATTTGGACATTTTCACAACATTCCCACAATATTATTAATATTGCAGTTAAATTTTTCAGGTTTTTAGAGCCAAAATTATGAGTTTATAGTAAACCAACTCCTTTACAAATATAATAAAATGCTCCGCTGGGCGCAGCTTGATACGACCACAGAGGTCGAACCCTGAACAGTTGGGGCAAGTATGGACACAACATTCAAGCTTGATACAGCTCTGAATTTGGATTGTGATTAAATATTTGACACAGCATAGGTTTCTGACACAGAATGAATGTGGTCTAAGAACTTAAAAAATTTTAATTTACCTTTCAAACCATATCATCATTATTTGCTTTTATATATAAATCAGAAATAACCAATTTAAAATGGAAAATTTCGAAGAAAAAAAAAAGGAAAAAAAATATCCCCCCCCCAAATTTTTTGAACCCCCTTATGATTCATCACCCCCAAACTCAATCCCAGCTTTCCCTTTGTGGTATGGTACCTTGCAGTATAATTTCAGAGAGATCCATACACTTGAACACAAGTTATTGTCTGGAAACTAGAAAAATGCTTGTTTTTTGGCCCCAAATTCCTAAACGTTTAGGGCAATTACCCCAAAACTCAAACCCAGCTTTCCTTTGTGATATGGAACCTTGTAGTACAATTTCATAAAGATCCATACACTTACACATAAGTTATTGTCATGAAACTAGAAAAATGCTTGTTTTTTGCCCCTTTTTGGCCCCTCATTCCTAAAATTTGGAGGCAATTACCCCCAAAATCAATCCCAGCATTCCCTGTGTGATATGGAACCTTGTGGTACAATGTCTGAGAGATCCATACACTAACACACAAGTTATGTCTGGAAATTACAAAAATGCTTATTTTTGGCCCATTTTTGACCCCTAATTCCTTAACTGTTGGTACCATAACCCCCAAAATCAATCCCAACCTTCCTTTTGTGGTATTGGACCTTATGGTAAAATATCATAGAGATCCATTTACTTAAACTTAAGTTAGAGTGCAAAAACCAATGTGTCTTCGGACGACGACGACGCCACGCCAACGTCATACCTATATAAGACTGTAAATTTTTTATGCGGTCGTATAAAATATAACTTTTAGGTAAAAGTCTATTTCAACAACAATTTATACAAAATCTATACAATAGAAATACTACATTTGTATGCACATCTGATATGTAAACTACTGCATATAAGGATTTAACATATAAAAGAAGAATTGCAAAGAGATGGTGAGTGCTGGACAGGATTTAAATTCCATAACTTTTGGTTAAGGTTCCTCATAACCTTTCAGCCAATAATGGCTCAGAGTTGACACCTCTAAATTTGTTCTGAATACTGCCAAACCTGTATAACTTTTTTGGCATTACCTGGACCTAGATATATGTAAGTTATATATGCATTCTGTGTTTCAGAAAGTTAACCTTTTTTTATATTACAGTAATACTGCGAATGCATACAAGTCATCCTTTAACCTTGTCTGGCTTGTGCTACGCCACAAAAAAATTAGTAACAAACTCACCTGAAATATATTGTATTATTAAGTATACTGTTCTTACCTGTGCTACGCCTTTAATAGATACAGCAACACCTTGCAGGGTGTACACATTTGGAGAATCAATGTGGAGGGTCATAAGATTAAGGTCAAGCCTGAAAGCAAATCAGTTTTCCTCCATTTCAACAAAACAGTCACTACTGACATGCAAATCAATTGCACCTATTATAAGGTATTTAACTGAAGTGACTTAACATGTACAATAAACTGTAGCTATCTTCCAACATGTATGAAGTTTGATTTCAATTTACAAAGGAAGACAACCCTCTACCACAGCTATATGTACATGTAAACTAAATCATAACGTAAATATTCATACTTACATACTTTGCAACAGTGAATGATGGCAAAAAATTCAACTCTTGCTGATAGTTACCTTCTTACTCTAAAATAAATCTAGTGAATTTGTATGTTGGGGAAAAACTCATGCAGAGGGAGGTCACACTCATGAAAGTGAAATATGAAAACCACATACATACATCATGTATATCAGACATCACTTCTTACCTGTGCAATTCCTTTTAAAGAAACTGCTACTCCTTGTAGTGTATGTATACACATTAGGACTGTTGATATGGAGAGTCATTAAATTAAGGCTTACTCTGAAATCACACAGCACTCAAAATCAACAAAAGATCATGCATATACAGCATTGCAAGTTTCTAGTGATCTTTTATGATACTTTGAAAATTTGTCAGCAACATTGATAAAATATAGACACAATACAGACAGAATGAAGTTTTCTATAGAAATTCAAAAACTTGATTAAGGGACTAAAAATAATTATCTGAATACTTCCTGTCTAGTAATATTCACTATTCATAATAATAATAAAAAGAAATATTTAACATCTTGAATGGCCAAGCTTTTTTTTTAATTTTTAGTTCTCAATGTTGAAATCTCTTCAAAATTTCCAATGCATCATTATTCACAGCTAACATTCTATTCAACTGAAAACATGTTTCTTCTTCTTCTGCAGGCTAAACAAGACCATGCAATACATCACCTGGGCAATACCAAGTACTGAAATAGCTACACCATGTTGTGTATAGACATTTGTACTCTCTACGTGGATAGTCATGGTATTAAGCGATAATCTGAAAACAAAGCAGTACTACAAAGCAAGTAGCAACAAAAAAATAAACAAATCATAAAATGTCACAAAGGTTTTGAGGTAAAAGCATGCAAAACTTAAGACACTGAGTCTAGTATAGAAAGAAAAGCATTGGCAAAGCAATAGTTTGTTATGCAATGTCTGCCAATATTGATTAATTTATAAAAATGTTTAGAAAAACACACATGCTTATTTTAACAAAGACATGCATATGAACAAGTCACTGTACTTCTTTTTGCTTTACCAACAAGAAAACCTAATAGTATTGGTTAATACAAGAAGTGGTAACTTATATCACTATTAATGCACTTTGAAGATTAAAGTATCTCAACTTGTATACAAAAAAAGGAAGATGGGCAATTTCTCGATTTAAGAAAAATTTTGCTTGCAAAAGCTCTCAAAAGGCATATGGAACTGAATTTGAATATAAAATAAATGGAGAATGTGTCCATGGGCCACAGATGCCCCGGCTTCTAAATATTATTATTACTTATAGTTTCTGAGATATTACCTTGACTAGTAAACTTACACAAATGTCTGATCACTAATACATGAAATGAGGTCAAGGTCAGATTACCACTGTCTGAGGGACATGTCAACTTTGAAAGGATTCCATATATGTTATATACACTAAATATAGTTGTCAGACAGAAACTCGAGACCATAAGGCATCTGTATACAAGATATGAAATATTCAGGACTTCTACCTTCTGAAATTTTATATAAAGCTTTATACAAATATTTAAGCAGTCGTTGTTAATGCCAGCATTCCTATGTCTCACATTTGAAATGATTCGTTGCAGTAACCAAAGTTTGACACAGGTAGAAATAATTGTAAAACCTAACATGGGGAAAATTGACAGAAAAAAAACTGATAAAAAGACAAATTATAAAAATCTATAATAAAGGAGAAATAACTGAACGCTGGCATAAGGAAAAGTAACTGAAAATCATAAGAAAAAAATGACAAAAAATAAGACATAGGGAAAAATAATTAAATCAAAGTCCATTCATATATTATATTTGGTGCTTTTAAATTCCACTGATGTTTACATTTTTCAATAACCTAAAAAAAACAATCAAATTTAGTAATAAATATTTATGTAACATTGTATGTACATCACCTCATAATGCAAACTGAAATAAATTACCACTTCTGCTTGTCAGAACCATGCATTTCTGGCTTATGTTAGTATGCGAAAAATACATGCGTACATTAATTGCATATGCAAAATGCAAATGTTAGCAAGCTGATGCTTTGTCCAATAAAATGAGTTCTTAATTTGTCATAAGTTGTTTCTTTAAATTCATTGTGTAATATCATGAATATAGTAACGTTAAAATCTATTACTTATTAAAATTTCTTTCTGGTTCTTAATGCGTAATTTATATGTACCAAAATAAATTTAATTGTGTAATACTAATTTTTGCTTGATAAACATCTGGGACTAAATCTATATATTATGTCCTAGTATACATGTACAATGCTAAAAATGTAAAAAGGCAACCAGTATTACCTGCACAAAATAAATTTCAATTGACATACATGTATATATGGAATCATCATGACCATAAAAGCTTACTTTATTGGACTAAGAAAGATTTGTTAAAGTGGTAAGTCCCAAAACTTTGAATGTTGTTAAATGTTTTTTCTCACCTGGGCAACACCAGTAACCGAAATAGCTACACCAAATTGTGTGTACACATTTGGACTTTCAATGTGTAAAGTCATGGTGTTAAGGGAGAGTCTGAAAATCAAATGCTTCAAAATTAACAAAAATTATGCAAAACAGCATTACCTTTGCAAACATAAAACAAAACTAAACTAAAACAGGATTATGCATATATACACACAGGTGCAATACATATCTCTAATAGGGAAAACTGTACAAGCAATGCCAACACACGGGTCACCTGGAGAAACTGTACATGTGTTTGTGATGCTTGGTCTCCCCCCTTTAAGTTAAAATATTTTAAACTTTAGATGCTGATATCTTTATTTTAGAAATTTTGGACAAGACAAAATTTTCTGTCATAGTACTTCGAAAAATTGCATTATTTCATAAAAAATTTTCTATTACATTTTTCAAAACTCCAATTTCTGTTGTCCATAAAAACATTTTTGTTGGTAAAATTTTATGTAAAAACGCATGCCTGACCTTTTAGGGAGTTAGTTATGTTTTGAAATTTTATCAATATTGTTATTGATCGTGTTGAGTACATTATAACTTTGATACTGTACACTAGACAAATGTTAGACAACAGAATTTAAGATCAGACAGTCAAAGAATATAAACATAACTAACTTGTTTGCAGAAAGACATAAAGATGCAATTTTGAAGGGAGATTTATTGAGTGTAAACAAAAAGGTGACTAAAAAGTTTCTCTTTCATGAAACGGATTTGAACGATGCAAAAGAACAGCAATTAAACCAAAATATGACCAGGCAACAACAACAGTATGCATGACAATACTCTACCTATTAAAACAAGAAGTTATGTATCACAATAAATATAATATTGACAGTCAGGGTTAACTTACTTGAGCCGTGCCAGTAACTGACACTGCCACACCCTGAGCAGTGTATACGTTTGGACTCTCAATAGACAATGTCATAGTGTTCAGATTCATTCTGGTCAGCACAAAAGAGTTAGTAATCATGTAATCACAATCAAATTTACAGCCACAAGAGGACAAGGATATAAACAACTAGATGGCACTGCATGTGCCTTCAACAATGAACAATAGCAATATATGAATGCTTCCACCTAAAAAGGACCTCTTTAAAAATCTTTTATTTGAGAGGGGACAAATATGTTTAACCTCTATTTATAGTGGTACGTTTATTGAAAAAATTCACACCTTATAAATTATCTGATGGTTTTAACAAAAATTGAGAGCTATTAGAATTTTAGTTTGTTCCTTTGGACAAGTTGGATTCATTTGTATATCTTAGAAGCAAAAACACAAGATTCTTTTTCATATTTGGTCTGGGCGGACTTTTTTCCACAAGTTTCAAATCTACTTTTAATACCCAAAAAGAACTGCACAAAAATTAAGTAAAGATAAATTGTAAAGTTAATACTAACATATTAATGAAGGTCATAAGGATTTAACACAAAATATATACATGTAAGCCTACATTGTAAAGTAATATTTATACAGCACCACAAATATTTCAAATATTGGCCTTAAGTTCCTGTTGAGACATTACCAATATCACCCTGACAGGAAATCTAGGTGACCAAATATTTAAAATGCTATGGAACTCATTACAATTGTTTCACTTTGTATATATTGAAAACACCATTGAGGTTAAAGTGACATGGACAAACAGATTTATACATTGAAGGAAGATTGATTGATTGTTTGTTGCTTAACATCCAGTAACTTGAAAGAGGATTGCAGGTGTGAAATATTATTGATATATATACCTTTATATGTAACAATGTTTGGAATAAAAAACTGCATTATTGTGTCTAGGATGTCAATAATGAGGACAATGTCATATCATAATACACATATATATACATGTAACTGTAAGGGGCACATAATAAGTACTGTATATCAAATAAAATATTGTTTCTACAACTGAGATCATGCATGTCATGCCTAATCTGTCAGCCATTTATCTCAAAACATGAGAATGACTTTAATATTTATGAAATATAATTGACAACAGACAAGTGAAGAGAAATGTAATTTTGAACATGACCCTGCCTTAGAATTTGTTTTCTCTTTCCCACAAGATTTAAAAATGAGACCTGCATTGTAATAAATGTATGAATAAGTACTATCTGACACTGATAAAAATAAATGGGGAATGTGTCCATGGGACACAGATGATGCCCCCGCTTCCATATCATATAAAGTTATAAAGGGACATAACTGAAGAACGATAAAAGTGACACTACCCAAATTTGTACTTGATCTGAGTTTTGTGGTAATAAGTATTGTGTATAAGTTTCATAACATGTAGTTGAGGCTAACTTAAGTAAGGGAACAGAAAGGTAAAAATTCAGAATTTTTTCCATTTGAAAAGGGGCATAACTCTAGAACAGTAGAAGTTACACCACCAAAATTCAAACTTGATCTGTATTTTGTGGTAACAAGCATTGTGTATACGTTTCATAACATTTGGTTGAGGCTCACTTAAGTTAGAGAACGGAAACGAAAAATTCAGCAATTTTTCCATTTGTAAAGGGGCATAACTCTAGAACGGTTAAAGTGACGCCACCAAAATTCAAAACTGATCTGTATTTTGTGGTAATAAGCATTGTGTATAAGTTTCATAACATTTGGTTAAGGCAAACTAAAGTTAGAGAACGGAAACCAACTTTGGGACATATGGACGGAAGCACGTACGTACGGACAAGGGTAAAACTTAATGCCCCCTCCGCTACGGCAGGGCATAAAAATTAATAACCAGTCAAGAAAAGTATCAATCAATATGTTTTTCTTTTCTTCTGTATTACAGTTCTTTATGTAGTTTTGTAGTCTATTATACAGAAAGTGAGTAAACCCCAACAACCAACCTATTTACCATGTATACAAAATATTTGCTTCATGTTTCATGTTTATGGATTTGAATGAGACTTATACTGTGTTCCAATACTGGTCAAAAGACATCCAGAAATCAAAATACTTTCTTTACATGTAAAATAGACAAGAGTCTATGCAATACATGTACATATGTCATGCTTTAAATCGTCTTTAGAATTTGTAAAATATATATAATAGATATAAAAAAGTGAGAAAAAGAGAGACATTCAGAAGGTTCCTGATATGAGACACCCCATAAGACATGATAAGATGTGGATTGGATAAACAATTTTTTCTAACTAACCCCTCTTCCTCTTAATTAATTAATGTCTGTCAGTGGAATCACAAAAGGTAAAAAGCAATGTGAAAGAACAAACAATGTTCAATAAAAATCAGTACACCAATGCACGAGCACTTCACTTTATAATACTGTTTAATATTAATGACTTTGTAGCTTACAAGGGGTATACAGGAATATGTAAATGTGTAGGGTCAATGAAAACAGTTGCATAAGGAACATCAATTAAAGAATAACTATTTTTTTGTACATATATATAATACACTGTACATTTATAATGCACATATGACTACATCTTATCTGTATCAGAATCATGTTTTATATATAATTATACATAGTTTGTAAAGAGCAATTCATTTTGTATAATCCAGGTGTACAAAGAGAGTTCTTAATTTGAAAAAGAAAAGATAATATTTCATTAAAATACATGTACACACTTTTTGTAGAGACATGATTTTAGCTGATGAATTGTTTGCTTATAATCCAGGGGTAAACAGTTCGTGCATTAAGGAAGTAAACAAACTAAACAATAAATCATATTACTAATTCTGCAAAAGGCCCCTACAGACCACTCAATTATTACTGTTACTGAGTAGTGATTCAGCATTCATAGAGAATGACACTCTCCTTACATTTAATCTCAAATTTCTGACTTAAGAACATGACGAAGGTGTTTTAAAATATACATGTATCTCTCTGCACACTCTGAAAATGTTAAATTATGGTCAATATGAATGTTCTGTACTATTTATGTATATTTACCTCTGTAATTTCTGTATAACTGGCCATACAAAACAACGACCACCAGGAACAAATAATGATCTACCATGACAACATCCTACAAAAGACAATAGTTACAATGCAGTACTGTTAAATATGGTCTTTTCAGACTCTGAGCAGTTTGTAGTGAACTTGAACCACACACATATTTTATTTGGCCTTATCACGGTACACTCAGGCTTTAATACTTTTCCAGGTGCACAGGTTTGTCTGTACTCAAGAGTGAAATTTGTGGTGTAAATAAAGCTGAAATTTGCCAAACAGTTGTAATGAACATTCAGATGAGGGTCTGGATGGGGTTTACAGAATAGAGAATAATGGACAAAACTTGCAAAATATAGGGCAAAAAAGGCCATTAAAAATAAAATATAGAGAATTATTGGGTACTAAAATGTAAAGAATAGAGAAAAATTACTTAAAAATTTTAAGAATACAAAATTGTTAAGGACACCCAATCGCCCCATACCTCCCCCCGGGGTACTCTCCCCTTTCCCACCAGACCCTCTTAGATTCTATCTTGCTGAATATATCTGTCCTTATAGGACTCCTCCCATGGGAATATGGATTATTTATAATGTTCTCTGCCTCCGGGACAGAGTTTTGGTGTAGCAACCCCCAAAAAATTATTTTAGCGTCAGTTCGCGGAATATATATGACCAGATTATAACAAAATCTTACCCGAAACAACCATTACTTCATTCGGTCCACATGTTTCGAACCCCATGTTGCAGACTTTTGCAAATCTGTGAACCCAACCCCACAAAATTTATCCAAGTTCCTGTTTATGCAAGCCGGACTGAATGAAAAGCTTGTCGTTGATTAGCCGAAACTAAAAAAAAGGTCAAGGTTGTCCAATTTCGCAAGAGCTGTTTATTTCACAATATCAGATATCACATGTCATATGTGTATTGATTAATTACGAATTCCTTACAATTTTTTTTATTTTATAAATAAATAATTATATTCAATCTCACGCAGGATAATAAAATGTCGCAAGACTTAAAATCAAAGTGCAAACATACTGTTTACTCCGCGGATAATAAGAATTAGAATAAGAATAAGAATATTTTATATCCAATTAAAGGGCCCTATAAAGAGCTTTCATCACATTACATACAAGTACATAAGGTTAGACATAAATTAGAGACATATAAGAAAACAACATCGTTTAATACTATTAAAAAGTCTATAAAAGGCCAGGACAGAACCAGATAATACAATTCACATCTTTGAAATATACCATTCAAAATCATATACCACTCAAAATATGTGTATTTGTGGCTAATTTGCATTTATTATCTTTGAACTTCTCCTTCTCTCAAGATTTTTAGATAAATACTTTCCCAAACATTTATACATATTTAAATTTTCTTGTGTAAATAGCCATGAAAACTTTAAAAAATTGTCTAAAGATTGAAAATTATTACAAGTTAGAGAAATTTCAGTAAAAAACTCATTTCTGTTATCAACATATAGTGGACATTCAGTCACAAAGTGTATCTCATCTTCAACTTTATTTAATGCACAGTATAAACATTTTCTAAGTGTTCTATTCAACAGTACCCATCAGCGTGTGTGAAAACAGAACCTATGTCAATTAAGAGCCGGAAGTGAAAATAGAACCATATGTTACACATGCGTTATAGCCTACTAATAGACATATATATCTACCCAAAAGATAATGTGAACTGTCACGATACAGGACTTATTATCAAATTAAGTAGCTGATATAAACACACTTTCTACACAATTATCAATGGACATCATTAAACTGCTGAACTGATAATAAAAAAATGCACGAATTAAATGGCAACATTTAAATATCTTGCTCTGTTAAAGACACATAAATTTATGTTCTGTTTGGCACTGATGAATGAGAGTCTGGATGGGGTTTACAGAAAAGAGAATAATGGTAAAAAAAAGGTGCAAAATAAATAAAGAATAGAGAAAAATTGGCAAAAATGATAATAAAAAAAATAGAGAAGAGTATGGTGAACAATTATAAAGAATAAAGAATAATGGGCATGCAAAATAAATAATAAATATAGAGAAATGATCTAAAAAAATTAAAGAATAAAGATATAAAGGAACCCCCATCCAGACCCTCATGAATATTTGGTTCCAGTTCTATCGTAATTATTGACAAACGCTTGTTGACCTTAATTTTGAAGATACAATTGTACAAAAAAAAAAAGAAATTATTGAAAGCTTAGGTATTGGGTTGATGAACGCTTCACTGTACCAGTAAAGTAAAAAAAAATGTGTATTTATTTTATATCTGGGACTAATTGAAACATTTATCTATTAGTCCCAGTTTTATACATATTAAATTAGTCTTATTCAAAATTAGAATGTAATATGTGTTTTTTTCAAAGATATCAGACAGAACGATCATGACACAATGTCTATAATTACTACATTTATGAGTATTTCTAAAATATTAAAATACGATTACTATTACACAAGCATTTTCTCCCCCGTGAAAATTACTTTGATTTAAATAACTTAAGTTCATTGACCAGAAAGTGAAACTATTTATGAGTAAAACAGAGGTTGGAATTTAAAGAGAAAGATTTATTTGACGTAGTTTATTTATGTAGGCATGTAAATGATTAAAAATCTTTAAATGACAAAAAAAATTAATATGATTATCTACTAAATGTCTACATTATTAAAGCGTCAAAACGAAAGCGATTTTTTTCTTCGTTCTGTTTAGTGGACGACTATTTGATTTTCGGGGGAGGGGTGGGGGGAGGAAATCCGCTAAAAAAATATGCATGCGTAGCCATGAACAGATGTAAATAAATAGCCAATCCACAAAAACCCAGAATATCAAATGCCCGTCCCCTTAAGTAAAATAAGGATGAAGCCATGTAAGAGGGTATGGATGGGGGATCCTTAATTTCTGTCTTCTTTAAATTTTTAGGGCATTTTTCTTTATCTGTAAGAATAACGCTTAAATAATTTTACAATTAAAATTTTCTGTAATTGGAGGATTTCTTTATTCTGTACATCGTTCATTTCTCTAATCAGTAAAGTATTACACAATTCTTTTATTTTCCAGTTATTCTCTATTCTTTATATTTTCTGCTCATTTTTCTCTATTCATTATACGTGTTATATTTTTTTGCCATATTTCTCTATGAATACCCCATCCAGACCCTCATGTTATTGTAACGTAAATCTCTGTAATTTATTGTTATACTTACACTGTATTTTTCCCCTCTGAATTTTTAAAATCTTCTTTCCCTTCGAAAAAGACTGAACAACGATACACCTATGTCTATATATATATATAAGGTGTAATTATGAACCAAGTCAGTATATGGAATATATATAACGTGTTAATCCAGAACCAAACATGCAAATTTAGAACCAACGCATTGTTAATCCAGAACCAAGTCTGTATATGGTATATATATAACGTGTCAATCCAGAACCAAACATGTAAATCCAGAACCAACACCTTGTCAATCCAAAACCAAGTCTGTATATGGTATAAATATAACGTGTCAATCCAGAACCAAGTTTGTTTATGGTAAAAATATAACGTGTCAATCCAGAACCAAACATGTAAATCCAGAACCAACACCTTGTCAATCCAGAACCAAGTCTGTATATGGTATAAATATAACGTGTCAATCCAGAACCAAACATGTAAATCTAGAACCAACACCATGTTAATTCAGAACCAAATGATTTAATCTGTTTATGGTATAGATATAACGTAAGCATCCAGAACCAAACATGTAAATCTAGAACCAAGTCTGTATCTGGTATCTATATAACATGTGAATCCAAAACCAAACATGTAAATCTAGAACCAACGCCTTGTCAATCCAGAATCAAGTCTGTATATGGTATATATATAACGTGTTAATTCAGAACCAAACATGTAAATCTAGAACCAACACCTTGTCAATCCATAACCAAGTCGTATATATGGTATAAATATAACGTGTCAATCCAGAACCAAACATGTAAATCTAGAACCAACACCTTGTCAATCCAGAACCAAGTCTGTATATGGTATAAATATAACGTTTTAATTCAGAACCAAACATGTAAATCCAGAACCAAACAAGTAAATCTAGAACCAACACCTTGTCAATCCAGAACCAAGTCTGTATATGGTATAAATATAACGTGTTAATTCAGAACCAAACATGTAAATCTAGAACCCACACCTTGTCAATCCAGAACCAAGTCTGTATATGGTATAAATATAACGTGTTAATTCAGAACCAAACATGTAAATCTAGAACCAACACCTTGTCAATCCAGAACCAAGTCTGTATATGGTATATATATAACGTGTTAATTCAGAACCAAACATGTAAATCTAGAACCCACACCTTGTCAATCCAGAACCAAGTCTGTATATGGTATAAATATAACGTGTTAATCCAGAACCAAACATGTAATTCTAGAACCAACGCCTTGTCAATCCAGAACCAAGTCTGTATATGGTATAGATATGACGTGATAATTCAGAACCAAACATGTAAATCTAGAACCAACACCTTGTCAATCCAGAACCAAGTCTGTATATGGTATAGATATGACGTGTTAATTCAGAACCAAACATGTAAATCTAGAACCAACACCTTGTCAATCCAGAACCAAGTCTGTATATGGTATAGATATGACGTGTTAATTCAGAACCAAACATGTAAATCTAGAACCAACACCTTGTCAATCCAGAACTAAGTCTGTATATGGTATAGATATGACGTGTTAATTCAGAACCAAACATGTAAATCTAGAACCAACACCTTGTCAATCCAGAACCAAGTCTGTATATGGTATAGATATGACGTGTTAATTCAGAACCAAACATGTAAATCCAGAACCAAACAAGTAAATCTAGAACCAACACCTTGTCAATCCAGAACCAAACATGTAAATCTAGAACCAACGCCTTGTCAATCCAGAATCAAGTCGGTACATGGTATAAATACAACGTGTTAATCCAGAACCAAACATGTAAATCTAGAACCAACACCTTGTCAATCCATAACCAAGTCTGTATATGGTATAAATATAACGTGTCAATCCAGAACCAAACATGTAAATCTAGAACCAAACATGTCAATCTAGAACCAACACCTTGTCAATCCAGAACCAAGTCTGTATATGGTATATATATAACGTGTCAATCCAGAACCAAACATGTAAATCAAGAACCAACACCTTGTCAATCCATAACCAAGTCTGTATATGGTATAAATATAACGTGTTAATCCAGAACCAAACATGTAAATCTAGAACCAACACCTTGTCAATCCATAACCAAGTCTGTATATGGTATAAATATAACGTGTCAATCCAAAACCAAACATGTAAATCTAGAACCAACACACCTTGTCAATCCAGAACCAAGTCTGTATATGGTATAAATATAACGTGTCAATCCAGAACCAAACATGTAAATCTAGAACCAACACCTTGTCAATCCAGAACCAAGTCTGTATATGGTATAAATATAACGTGTTAATCCAGAACCAAACATGTAAATCTAAAACCAACACCTTGTCAATCCAGAACCAAGTCTGTATATGGTATAAATATAACGTGTTAATTCAGAACCAAACATGTAAATCTAGAACCCACACCTTGTCAATCCAGAACCAAGTCTGTATATGGTATAAATATAACGTGTTAATTCAGAACCAAACATGTAAATCTAGAACCCACACCTTGTCAATCCAGAACCAAGTCTGTATATGGTATAAATATAACGTGTTAATCCAGAACCAAACATGTAAATCTAGAACCAACGCCTTGTCAATCCAGAACCAAGTCTGTATATGGTATAGATATGACGTGTTAATTCAGAAC